TCATTTGTATGAAAAATTTAAAAATTAACTGGGCATGGTGGCACATGCCTGTAGTCTCAGCTACTCAGAAGGCTGAGGTGGGAGGATCACTTGAGCCCAGGAGGTTGAGGCTACAGTGAGCTGTGTTCATGCCACTCCAGCCTGTCCAATCTGAACAACAGAATGAGACCCTGTCTCAAAAAACAAACAAACAAAAAAAACACTTTTCAAGTATCCCATTATATGTAACTACTTAATTTTTTTTCAGCTTTTCTTCTACTGTAATAATGTTCAAAATATGTGTTTTGGGGGAGCATATTAGGTTATGCTAAATGACTGAAATCATGGACCCAAAATGTAATCATATAAACACAGTGTAAGTGTCAGTTTTTCACAGAACTGTTCAATGTGAATGTTTGAGGCAGGGTTCCTCTGTAGTCCTGAGAGGCTAATACTGGCTCTGCCACTTCTAGCTTATGGCCTTTTGGTAGCTCAGTTTCTGCTCTTGGTCATCACCACCACCATCTGCAGGGAGTTGGGGGCCTGGGGCTTGATGGGCCAGGTCTAAGTACTTTTCTAACTTTAACATAGTTCCATGGCCTGTTTTGTTTTATTTGTTTTCTTGTCCCTGCGACTCTCTTCTAACTCACTAGGAGCTGCCTTGAAGCCACTGAACTAATGGGCTTGGGCAGAAAGGCAGCACCTTTACTCTGATTTTCAAAGACTGCTAGCTCCCTCATTTGCATTTACTGGGAAACCTTTGTAATTCAAGCAGCCTGCAAACCCACCACCTGCTTCTATATGTTTGCATGCTAAAAATGATTTTTACAGTTTTTAATCCTTGAGAGAAAAAAGCATTTGCTACATGTAAAAATTATATGAAATTAGAAATTTCATTGTTCATAAATACAGTTTTATTGGAACACAACCACACTTATTCATTTATATCTTGTCTATGACTGCTTTTATGCTACCACAAGAGAGCTGAGTAGTTGTGGCAAAGATGCAGAAAACCTAAAATATTTCTTGTCTGATCCTGTTAGAGAAAAACTTGGCTAGAGCCCTGGTTTAAAGAACTGCTTATACTTACCTCTCGTTATCTGGGGTATAGAAAGTTTTTTCAGTCTTATGAGAGCCTTATTTCTAAGATTGTCTACAACTGTCTACAAACCAGCTGATTCTTTGCAGAGTTCAGCTCTCACAAAACTGTGCTAACAACAGCAGCACACACTATCTTCTGGCTTTTCTCAGCCATTTTGCTTAGTTTTGGACTCTGGTAGACACCTATTTTTTTGTTTGTTTGTTTTGAGACAGAGTTTCACTCTTGTTGCCCAGGCTGGAGTGCAATGGTGCGATCTCAGCTCACTGTAACCTCTGCCTCCCAGGTTCAAGCAGTTCTCCTGTCTCGGCCTCCCAAGTAGCTGGGATTGCAGGTGCCTGCACTATGCCCGGCTAATTTTTGTATTTTTTTAGTAGAGATAGGGTTTCACCATGTTGGCCAGGCTGGTCCTGAACTCCTGACCTCAGGTATTCCACCTGCCTTGGCCTCCAAAAGTGCTGGGATTATAGGCATGAGCCACCGCACCTGGCTGACACCAATTCTTTTTTCTGAGTTGTCACGTGCTTGATTTCACTAACTTTCATCACAGCATGACAGGGTCTTCTAGCTTTCTGGCCTGTGATCTCTGTTTCCTCTCCACTTGATGCCATATATTTTTAGATTGACAGCAACATCCTTATTCTAGGTGACACTTAAGGTATTAGTGGGTGTAGTCTGTGCTGCAAGTCATAGACCTAAAGTGTAATTAGGGCTTCATACCTCTCTAACAATCCAGTGTGGCTCCTAAGGGTTTGACAGTGGTAGAGACACTGGGGTTGGAGGTACATTGTGTCCTTTGTAGTTATTTAGGAATCTGCCTGACAGTTACTGCCATTTTGGGTGTCTAGCTTACAGTGTCACTCTGGACTTGGTCATAGCCATCCTAGCTCATGGGAAGTGGAAGGCCTGGAGAAGTATGCAAAGTGAGATATATGGCCCAAGCCTGGGAGTGGCCCCCAGCATGTCTGTTTACATTCCACTGGAGAGAACTAGTCACAGGCTGCCCCTCACTATAGAGGAAGCTGAGGAAGTGGTGTAGCTGGGCATATGCCATGTGGGGAGGGAGAAACAGATTTTGATGGTCAGCAAGCATTCTGATTCCAGAGGTGCATGCTTTCTTGTATTTCCTAAAGAAATAGGCCGAGTTGTGAAAAGTTTGCTGGTAGAGTAGGTTTATTTATTAAAAAATACCTATGCAAATATGGCTTTAAAATGCAACTCTCCAAATAAATTGTGTGTGAATAAAATATGTATGTTTTCAGGCTGTTGCACATTATGAACAATCTGCTGATTATTACAAAGGAGAAGAATCCAATAGGCAAGTATTACTTTTCTTAATATAATTTAATGGGTTTTATTATGTGTGATAAAAAAAATACTTCTTTTTATACTCTGTGAGTGTATTTGACTATACCAAATGAAGATGTACTAAGGCCCAGTGCACATCTTTTATTTTTCCATTGGCTTGTTATTCATTCTGCTTTGGTTCTTGATTTCAGCTCAGCAAACAAGAGTCTGCTGAAGGTGGCAGCATATGCTGCCCAGCTTGAGCAGTACCAGAAAGCCACTGAGATCTATGAGCAGGTGAGGATACTGTTGTTTCCTTGGAGAGAAGTTGTCTGAATCATTTTTTTAAATTAAATCATTTTTTATTTTTCTTTTTATTGAGATATAATCCACACATCATGTGATGAGTACAGTTCATTGGTTTTTAGTCTATTCACAGAGTTGTATAACTATCACCACTACTTAATTCCAGAACATTTTCATCATCCCCAAAAGAAGCCCAGCAGTCCATTCTCTCCTCCCAGTCCCTGGAAGACACAATCTACTCTCTCTCTATATGGATTTGTCTATTCTGAACCTTGAAGATAAATGAAATCACATACTATGTGGCCTTTTGTGACTGCCCTCTTTCACTTAGCATATTGTTTTCAGGGTTCATCCATGTCATAGCAAATGTCAGTATGTCACTGTTTTTCGTGGCTAATACCTCATGGTTTATTTATCAATTTATGGATGTTTGGGGTTTTTCCACTTTGGGTCTATTATCAATAATGCTGCTGTGAACATTTGTGTTAAAGTTTTTGTGGTGGTGTTTTTAGTTCTCTTAGTTATATACCTAGGAATAGAATTGCAGTTGCTGGGCTATGTGGTAAGTACATTTATAACTTTTTGAGGAACTGCCAGGCTTTTTCACAATGGCTACACCATTATAACTTCCCACTAGCAATGCACAGGGTTCCAGTTTCTCCACATTGTCACCAATACTTGTTTTTTTTTTTTTAAATAATAGTCACCTTAATGAGTGTGAAATGTCTCATTCTGTTTTTGATTGTTATTTCTCTAATGACTGGTGATGTTGAGTATCTTTTTATTTGCTTATTGACCATTTGTATATCTTTGGAGGAATGTCTATTCCAGTACTTTCTCTGGATTTAAATTTGGTTGTTTGTTTTTTGGTGGTGAGTTTTAGGTGTTCTTTATATATTCTGGATATTAATCCCCTATCAGATATGTGATTTGCAAGTATTTACTCTCATTCTGTGGGTTGTCTCTGGACTCTGTTATTAATGTTCTTTGATTCACTGAAGTCTTTAATATTTTTGAAGTCTAGTTTGTCTGTTTTTTCTTTGTCTGGCTTTTGTTGTTATATAGAAGAAATCGTCGCTGAATCTGTTATCATGAGGCTTTTCCCTTCTGTTTTGTTCTAAGAATTGTGTAGTTTTGGCTGTTAGGTTTAGATTTTTTATCCATTTTGAGTTAATTTTTGTATATAGTATGAGGTAAGGGTCCAACTTTATTCTTTTATATGTGGATGTCCAGTTTTTCTAGCACCATTTGTTGAATAGAACTATCTTTTAACTATTGAATGGTATTATGACCCTTATTGAAAATTACTTCACCATATAAAATATGAGGGCTTACTTCTGGGCTCTCTATTCCATTGATCTATTTATCCATCTTTATGCCAGTATTATACTGTTTTTATTTCTGTAACTTTGCAGTAAGTTTTGAAGTCAATAAGTGTGAGTCCTCCAACTTTTTGTTCTTTTTCAGAATTGTTTTGGCTATTCCAGATCCCTTGCATTTTCATCTGAATATTAGGATCAGCTTGTCAATCTCTGCAAAGTAGCCAGTTTAGATTTTGATAGAGATTGTATGGAATGTGCATACCAATTTGAAGAGTGGTTTTAGGGTTTCCAGAGAAACAGAACCAATAAGAGGTATAGAGGTGTATGTGTGTGTGTTTGTGTGTGAGTGTGTGTGTGTGTTTAGAGAGAGAAATTACTGTAGGGAATTGATTTGCTTGATTATATAGGCTGAGAAGGTCTGAAATCTGCAGTCTGAAGACCCAGGAGAGCCAATGGTATAGCTCCAGTCCAAATCCGAAGGCCTCAGAACCAGGAGAGTTGATGGTGTAATTTCTAGTCTGAGTCCAAGTCTGAAGCAGGAGAATACCAGTGTCCTGGCTCTAAGACAGGCGTTGAGAATAAATTCTTCCTTTTAACCTTTTATTTTATTCAGGTTTTCAGTAGATTGGATGAGGCCCACCCACAATGGGGAGGGCAATCTGCTTACTCATCCTACTGATTCAAATGTTAATCTCATGCAGAAACACCCCACAGACACACTCAGAATAACACCAAATATCTGGGCACCCTGTAGCCCACTCAAGTTGACACATAAAATCAGTCATCACAGAGAGTATTGCCATCTTAAAATCAGTCATCACAGAGAGTATTGCCATCTTAACAATACTAAGTCTGAGTCTGTGAATACAGAGTTCCTTTTATAGTTATTTGGATCTTTTATTTTTTGCTCAACAGTGTTTTGTAGTTTTTGGTGTGCAAGTTTTGTACTTGTTGGGTGAAACATACTCCAAAGTATTTTATTTTTTCTGATGCTACTACAAATTGAATTATTTTCTTTTTTTTTTTTTTTTTTTTTTTTTTGACGTTGCTTTCTTTTAATTGGAGTGAGGACACAACCTGGTCATGTTCAGAGACGAACAGCCTCATCTAGGTGGTGAAGAACACTCTTATCTTTCTTGGTTAACCAGGTCCTAAATTCAAGGGATTTCCACGTGTTCTTTAAAACCACCTGAAACTGTCCTGCGCAGGCTCACACTGCGACTCTGTACCAAGGGCCTGGCCCCGCCTGCAGCCAGAGGTCATCTCACTGGATGTCATCATCATCGAAAAGATCTTCAAAATCATTAAAAAAGTCTGCATGAACGGCCTTTTCATTGGCTGCCAAGTCCATCAGGAGCCCGGTGCTGCCTCCCGCCTCGTCCAGGTCCACCTAAGGCCCGGCGCCCTCGGGGAACATCTCGTCCACTGCCGGCTTCATCTCGGGCCCGCGGCGCTCCGAATTATTTTCTTAATTTCCTTTTAAGATTGTTAATTGCTAGTGTGTAGAAATACTGTTGAATTTTGTATATCAATTTTTTGTCCTGTAACCATGCCAAACTTATTAGCTCTCATAGGTTTTTTTGTGTGGATTCCTTAGGTTTTCTATATCCAAAATCATGATATCTGCAAATAACAATAGTTTTACTTCTTCCTCTGCAGTCTGAATGTGTTTTACTTCATTTTGTCGGTTGCCCTGGCTAGACTCTCCAGTGCAGTGTTGAATAGAAGTGACAAGAGCAGACATCCTTGTCTTGTTCTTGATCTTGTAAGGACAACTTCCAGTCTTTCATATTAAGTATGATATTGGTAGTGGGGTTTTGGTAAATGCCTTTATCAGTTTGAGGCAGTTCCCCTCTCTTCCTAGTTTGTTGAGTGTTTTTATAATCAAAGGGTATTAGATTTTGTCAGACTTTTTTCTGTGTCTATTGAGATAAGCATATGGTTTTTGTCCTAATCAGCTTAATATTGTGTATTACATTGATTGATTTTCATATGTTGAACCAACCTTACATTCCTGGAATAAATTCTACTTGGTCATTGCAAACTTTGAGGGGTTTCCCAAGAACACCCTCAAGTTTAATAATTTGTTAGATGAACTTACAGAACCCACTAAAAGCTGTTATACTCACAGTTATGGTTTATTACGGGTACAGATTAAACTCAGTGAAAGGAGAGACTCATGGGGCAGGGTCCAGGAGACTTCCAGGAAGAGCTTTCAGTTGTCCTCTCTCAGCGGAGTTATGTAAACAGCACTTACTTCCCCCAACAGTAATGAGTGAAAATAAGCGTAGACTACTGCCAATCAAGGAAGCTCCCCTGAACCCAGTGTTTTGAGTTTTTACTGGGGCCCAGTGACATAGATGTTGACCACCCTTGTGGCTGACTTTACTTTTTGTAAGTGCCAGAATTGGTTTGCTAACATTTTGTTGAGGATGTTATGTCTATATTCATAACGGATATTGATTGTTAGTTTTCTTATGGTGTCTGTGTCTGGTTTTCGAATCAAGGTAATTCTGGCCTCAGAATGCATTAGGATGTCTTCCTCCTCTTCTGTTTTATGGAAGAGTTTGTAAAGGATTGGTGTCCATTCCTCTTTAAATGTTGGGTAGAATTCAATTATTTCTCTCTTTTTTTTTTATTTTCACTGATTTCTGTTTTTATTGTTATTTCCTTCATTTTGTTTTCTTTGGATTTGTTTTGCTCTTTTTCTGGGTACTTCACATGGAAGTTTAGCTTGCTGATTTTTATCTTTGTTGTGTATGCATTTTTGGTGTTATCAATTACCTTTTCATAGGTTTGGCTACTTCCCAATTTTATTGTATCATTGTACTTTTATTTTTATTCAGTTAGTTGGATTTATTGATTTCCCTTGAGACTTCAGTGACCCATGGATTATTTAGTAGTGTTTTATTTAATTTCCAAGTGTTTGGCAGAGATTTTTCTGTAATCTTTCTATTGTTGACTTCTTGTTTTTAATTCCATTGTAGTTAGATAACATATTTTGCATGATTTCAATTCTTACAAATTTGTTTTGTTTTATGGCCTAGAATATGGTCTGTCTTGGCATATATTTTATGATTATGCTGTTACTGGGTGATGTTTATAAATGTTGATTAACTCCTGTTGGATGATGGCATTATTAAGTTCTTTAATATACTTGCTAATTTATCTATCTGTCTTTGTCTCTCTCTCTCGCTCTCTTTCTCTTTCTGTCCTCTCTCTTTTTTTTTTTTTTTTTTTTTTTTTTTGAGACAGAGTCTTGCTCTGTCACCCAGACTGGAGTGCAGTGACTTGATCTCAGCTCACTGCAACTCTCCACCTCCCAGGTTCAAACGATTTTCATGCCTCAGCCTCCCAGGTAGCTGGGATTACAGGTGTGTG